AAAAAAAAAAAAAGGGAGTGGACAAGCATAAAAACCACGTATTCCTTGAATACGTTGTTTAAAAAAAAATTATTTTAGAAAACGTATTCTTTTAAATGTTTTAATTAAAAAAAATCGTAAACAATTTTCAAAATAATTTTCGTTAAATAAAAAAAAATAAATAAAAAACGTATTTGAGTAATACGTTTTCACAGAACGTATTTACTAAATGCGTCTTACAAAAAATTATTTTTTTTTTAAAAAAATACATTTAAGCAAAACGTATTTAAGGAATACGTTTTACATTTAAATGCACAGAAAACGTATTCCTCAAATACGTTTTATGTAAAATATATTAAAAAAAATCTTCTTCTCCATTCATTACGCGAGCAGCACAACAGAGAGCAACTACTGAGAGCATTCAAAGAGAACAGAAGAGCGAAAATACTTGAGAAAAAAAAACTCGATCCAATCTTCACTCTAACGTGAACCGACAACAGCGACACGAGCCTTATTTTCGGTTAATTCATTCGCACGAGGTATATTGGTTTATCTTAACTTTTTATATTTGTTTGGAGTTATTTGGAGATTGATAATTGTTATAATATGTTTGAATGTGTTGGTGTTTGAATCTTGAAATTGCTAATTGATTAATAATTATGTGTGTATGTTGAATTGGAGATTGAAATATTATGTGTTAATTGTCAATTGTGTAATTGTTTGGTTGTTGTTGTGGTTAGGGTTTTTTGAAATTAGGGTTTCAATTTATCGAAATTATAGATGATTTATATGTTATTGTTCGATAAGGGGATTATTTGATTGAGAATGATTTTTTTTTTATGGTTTTTTTGGTTGAAAGTGAATTATGAGTATTAGGGTTTGATAAAAGAATTCGTGATTTTATTTTTAACAGGTATAAATGGCGTCTGCCGGACTACCATACTTTGTTAATGTGTATTGGAATTATCCCAAAGAGGTTTTAGATTCATTTTCAGATTTTATAAACCGTCCGGATGGTTCATTTTGCATTGGGGAGAAGATATCATTTCAACAATTTGTAAATATACTTTATGAAAATTTTAGTTTCCGTCGAAATGGTTTGACAATTGAGGGGATTAGTTTACTGACAAACCGACCCTAGTCCAAGCCTGAGGACCTGGTCCGACTGCCGACTAGGTTCAAGGAACCGAACTGATTAGGGTGTCCCCCGTCCGCACAGACCCCGAGGAGAGGGAGGCGACCGAGGTTCCTCATGACGTCTACATCATTGTGTCCAGTGCCGAGGAGGCCGAGGGGGAGAAAAAGGCTGTCGAGGAGCCTTCTACTCGCAAGAAGCACAAGTCTAAAAAAAACCTGAAGGCGAGTCGCACGTTGCTAGGGAACGTCGGTCCAAGATGAAGCATGATGTTGTTCTGACTCTGGGAGAGAGAGATACTCTAATTCATCAATACAAGAGTTCAACGTACCTGTCCATTGATGAGGAAAGGGTCCTCAACCTTAACCTGCCTTATGGGGTTGCAGAGGAGTGGTTTACCGACTTCCATTCTGTCGCTTATGCCGAGGTCCCGAATAAATATCACCAGCCCACCCATGTGATCGAGGCGGCCAAAGTCCCGTTGATGGCTTGGGACCCCACCTCGGAAGCCAGGTTGTCGTTGATGTCGGACGCCTTCAAGTTCAGTTATGCAAAGGCTTGTCTGGGGAGGGCTCTAGTGCCTGACTGCCGTGGAGGATGTATTTCGTTCGAATGCCACCGATCTTGAGGACAAGAAGGACAAGGTAGTATATCGCGACGTCAAAATTTTGTCCCTGCAATCGGAAAAGGCCGATCTAGAAGCGACGATGACTGAGAAGTCGGACCAGCTGGCCGTGGCGCAGGCCGAGATTGAGGCCTTGATGGCGGATAAGAAACGTTTGGAGGTCGAGGTGTACAAACTTTCCAGCCAGGTTATCGACTCCGAGAACAACGCCAAGGATACTAACGAGAAATTCCTGAAGGAGCGAGAAGACCATCAGAAGACCTGGCAGGACCGTGCTGAGAAGGAGACTGAGTTGATCCGACTGAAGGAATTGCACGCGTCGGAGGTTTCCAGGCTCGAGAAAGAGAAAACTGATTTTGGGACCCTCATGCATAACCGAGGTGTCGAGGCAGGTAAGGAGCTCGGGAAGGAGGAGTTCGAGAATTCTGAGGAGATGGAACGCGACATCGAGATGAACACCTGCCTGAACCTCTGATGGGCCGTTGTCCGTCTCGACTCTGGGCTATACAGCTCGGGTGACTTTAAGTTTATTCTGCTTACGAAGATCGAGATGTTAGGTTTCGACGCTTCGATCTCAGAGATGCGCATCCCGACCGATGATGACGAGAGGCATTACATTGAATGCGTTCTGAACGAATCCAATCCAGATGTGACGGCCTCGGCCCTCCCCCCTTGAGTCGAGATAGACGTGTCGTGCTTCGAAAGGCCTTCATGGACATGGTCCATTAAGGGGAGAAAGAAAGAAGAGAGGAACTCAGCCTCAAGTTCATCGACACTCTCGCCAACATAACAATCGATCATTTTAAAATCTTGACTCCAGTCGAGATTGAGAAGGAAGTAGTGGAATATGCTGACAAGATGGCTGCAGCTGCTCTCGAAGGTGATTCTGAAGCGTCTGCCTCTGCGACCGAGCTGGTAACTGTGGCTGAGTCAGCCAATCCCGGAGCTTTGAAAATTCGAGTTGACCCCCAGGCTTTGATTGCTGCGATCTTTGCCAAGCTGAGTGGGAAGGTTAGGGATACATCTGCTGACCTGGATGACGAGGCTGCAGAAGAGGTAGAGAGTGATCCGGGGAAGATGGCGGAGGACACCGAGAAGGCCGATGCCGACCCCAAGAAGCTCGAGGAGGATATCGGGAAATCTGTTGAATGACTTAACTCTTTCCTTTTGCTGCTTTCGTGTGTTTACTTTTGCTTTGCGTGGACCATTACGTTGGCACGTTTGCTTTGGTTTGTATTTCGTTGTTCTCCATAAGTTAGCACGTCCTTAGTTTTTTTTTCTCTGATGGCATTGTAAGAATTCTTCCCCAGGCTTTTGATTAACGAAGTACGTTTTTAAATAATTACTCTCAATCTTTTTCTATTAACAAAGTATCTTTAAGTTGTATTTTTTAGTCCCAAACAGGGGATCGATCCTTTTTAACGGTTTCAACCTTTTTGCCCTGTTCGGGTTTTCTTTTGGATGACTGTTGTAGCAAATTATTTTAATTTTTACCGAGTACCGAATCAAAAGATTCGTTCCCCGGTTCGATCTCTCGAGGAAGACGGTTCGGAATTTAGCGTTGGTATTAATCACACACGAAAGAAAATAAATCCTAAACACTCTAATCAAGGATGATTTGGAGAAATATCTAAAACTAAAGAACTAGAAAAACGAATAATGATATAACAAATAAATTGCTAGAGAAATAGAAGAAGTTCTAGGGGTCGGGAAATCTCATCAAGTCTCAAACTATGTTGAACGATTATTTGTTTGGTTACGAGATTTAACAAGCCTACACGTCTAGAGGGCTATGCTCAATAACTCTTCGTAACAAGAGCACATACATAAACGATAAACTCATTCATACAAACAACACATAGACAATACGTTTCCGAACATGTCTACTCTATACGAGCCTAAATCGACCGACATCTCCCCTCTCGGTTCTAAACACCGATAAAATAGGTTAGAATGGTGATCAATCAACTAACCCTATAATTCACACAACTCACATAGATTGAACAAAATACATTCCCCATAATTCAAAACAAGAATCAAAATCCCTAACTCTAGGTGAATGGATTACCTCATGCTTAGATTCAATCTCATGTTAACTGGAATTAAGAACATTAAACCAATCAACAATAATAAAATAGAATTGAAAAACATACAACCGGATTAAGACTTGCAAGATTTCAATCAAAATATCTTTGTGTTCATCAATCCAAGCATGAGAGAAAATAAAAAGAAAAACGGAGAAAATTATCCTAACAATATTGAGTTTATGGAGAGAAAAATTAAAAGGAACGATATTGGGGGTTGTTCCTTAGGTCTGGAGGTTCGTTTCGACAACAGAATCAAACATTCGTCTGTGTTATGGCCCGGTGATCGGTGGTAATCGTAGTATCTAGCTTTGTCCAGTTGGCTCTCCGGGGTTTTCACTGGTCGGGCGTCGGGAAGGATTCCCTTCCCCTTTATTTTCTCGTAGATGGTAGCTGCTCCCACCGAGTAGATGGATCGGTATCCTTCTTTTAAATCTTATCGGTACTGCTTCCGAGCTGCTCGTACCTCGGGTCCGCAGAGGGGGTCTTTTTGGACGAGTTGCCGAAAGACTTTTTCTTCTTCTCAGACGCTTTGGTCCCTGCGCGGTCAACGCGAGGTCCGATACCGATATACTTTCTTCCGCGATCACGTGATTTTGAGCTCTGATCAGAAACTCCTGGAAAGTGTTGGGTTTGTTTTGACAGAGCGCCCACCTAAACATCGATTTTGGCTTGAGCCCCGAGATGGAAGATACTAAAAGGGTTTTAGTGTGGCAAGGTTCCATGTTTTGCACACGCTCATTAAAGCGAGCGATATACTCTTTCAAACTTTCATCGTCTTTCTGGACAATGTTGGTTATCGACTCCTTCTGGATTAAACAGACCTGAGCTCTAATGAAATGCGAGCGAAAGGCTGACCTAGGTTGGCCCCAACGTTGTATAGACTGGGCCGGAAGGAAGTAGTACCATTTTTGGGCCTTTGGCCCCAAAGTCAGAGAAAACATGCGGCACCTTAGGGCGTCTGTGGCACCATGGAGGTCTATCCACGAAATATAATGGCCGAGGTGGGCGTCGGGCTCCCACGCACCGTCGTAGAGGCCGATTTGCGGGACTTTGATTTTCCAGGGTAGCGGCTCCAAGGTCAACTCGGGAGCTAACAGCGAGTCCATTTCTACGTACAAGTGAGCGGGCTCCTGAGTGCGTCTATTGCTTGCGATCTCG